GACAATAATCAGTATAGTGAGTGCTGAGAAAAAGTAATGGCAGACAAACAAAACACAATATTATCCTTATTATATTATCATAGTAAAATACCTTCTCAGCTTGTAATATAGGTCATTATTTTGTAAAAATGAAAGTAAAGCATTTTTGTAATGTTTGGTTTAATTGTAATTTCTTGATCTATTGACCTATATTACAAGCTTACGTTTTTCTTTAACTTTGATGTCCGTTTTCACCACGAAGACAAGTCCAGAGGTCAAATTTTTTTTTTTCAAATTAAAGTATATTACATAAGCTTTAATTTAAGATATATATAAAAGTGTCAGTCTTTCCGGAACATTTTCAAAAGTTAAGTTGAAAAAGTTAATTTTTTGTAAAAAAGTTACCATTTTGAAACCCCATCCTTTGGGCTGTTAAAGGGTCAAATGTACACAAAACGTATGTCGAATGAAAGAAGTATATATAAAGTATTTATCATTAAAGAATAAAGTTGATTCATGCATTTTTTAAAAAGTTATAGCAACATAATGTTAAAAAATGTAAAATATAATATCAAGAATTTTTTCACAAAAATAGCATATTTTTGCATACGGTAGTCATTTTCACCATGAAGACAAGTCCAGAGGTCAAATTTTTTTTTTTCAAATTAAAGTATATTACATTAGCTTTAATTTAAGGTATATATAAAATTGTCAGTCTTTCCGGAACATTTTCAAAAGTTAAGTTGAAAAAGTTAATTTTTTGTAAAAAAGTTACCATTTTGAAACCCCATCCTTTGGGCTGTTAAAGGGTCAAATGTTCACAAAAATATATAAAATGATAGGTAATTATCTAAGGTATCTATAAAAAAAAAAATTATATTGATTCGGTCATTTTTAAAAAAGTTATGGCAATTTTAAGTAAAAAAAATTGAAAAAATATCGAAAATTAGCGATTTTTAAATTTGTAATTTTTTGGGGGATTTCCCCCGTTTACGGGGAACGAGGGAATTTTTTTCAATTTTTGAGGGTAATGTCTTCGACTAGATACGATTTGTGATCTTTTGACATATTGTTCATCAAAATCGGTCCAGCGAGAGCTGAGATTGAGCGTTCACAGACACAAAAAAAAAAAAAAAAAAATAAAAAAAAAAACACATCATAGTAAAATTAATACCTTCTCAGCTTCGCATCGAAGCTAAAAAATTGTTTAACCGAAATCTTTTAACATAACACTAAATTATCACAATTCGTGATTTTAATTTTTAAAAATATTCCAAAAATACTGCGAGATTCGAACATATGTAAAATTATAACTTATAGAACATACAATAAGTATAAAAATTAATTTGTCCAAACATCTTATTTTCTACGTGAACATGACTGTCGTAATTAAAAAACGTGCTATTTTTGTGTTCAAATTTTTGGTTTTATATTTTCAAATTTAGATTGCTATAACTTTTTGACTTATAATAAATTTAAGTAACGAAATACAGAGTATTCTTTAAATAGCCACTATTATCCACTGGATTTATCTTAAAATAATAATTATGTTAAGAAAATCATTTTTGGTGTTTTTAGCTACAGAAACGTATTTCTCGATTTAACAATTATATTATTATTTTTAATTCATCCTTTGTACTGTATAAGGATGTCAACTTTTTTTTTAAATGTTAATATACAAATTTATCTAGCATATAAAATAATAGATTAGCTAATTAAAAAATGGCTAGTTTATACTAATTTTAAAATTATTAAAGGGGATGAATTAAAATAAACTTAATAATTAATAAATCGACAAATGTATAGAATTAAAGACACTAAAAAAAAAATGTTCTTAATATAATTATTATATTTGTGATTTATTTTTTTAAATTCATATTTATTAAGTATTATACTTATATTTCACAAAACGTATAATCAGGATATAAATAATGTTGCAACTTTTCAAATTAAAACAATCCAATCTGATTTTCTATGAAAGTAAAGTTTCATCACAGAAGTTTAATAAAAAATTAAAAATTACTAAGAAAAAAAATTAAACATTATTTCAATTTAATAACAAATCTTAATATGATAATTACTTTTACTTTTAACATAAAAATTGTTAAATGTCAACAAAAAATTAAAAGCTTTTTTTTAAATATTACAAAATAAACTATATTTTCAAAGAACTACAAATATAAGTCATTATTTCCAAGGGTTTAAATTTTAGTTAAACCTTAATCTTAAAACGGGTTTTAACTTATTAGTGGCATTTAGCAACTTATTCGACTTACATTTATCATTTATTTATACTGAGGTATAAAAAAGTTAATTCCTCCGATAAAAATTCTTCATATATGTAGGCACAATCTTAAATTAATAATGTCTAAATTTACTACATCCTAACTTTCAATAATAGGTTGAATACAATTTACCTATATAAAGTCATTAAATATAAATAATCCACTTCTTCTCTACAATAGTAAATAGCTTTTCATGATTATAAGAATGTTATAGTGTTCTATATATGAATTGTTCAGTTAAAAAGAGAATATAAATAATGACGTAAAAAATTATAAAATAATTTCAATAAGATTTTAGTTGAAAAATTACTTGAAGTGTTTTATCACTATAGAATTTTTAAGCTAAACATTTATTTGCATTTTATTTACATTTACATTAACATTTTAATTGATTAATTTTTTTTAATTTAAGAATAAAATAATGAATGTTACAGTTATCCAATAGAAACCCATGAACTAATTAGTGAGATTAAATATTTTTACATAACTTTTTTAATTTTCTTAATAATAATCCTGCTTATTCTTACGATTTAATTTTTATAGTTATAAAATAAATTCATCGCAAATAAAATTCAAGATAAATATTTACGATTGTATTTCCAACAAATGTTTTTTATCAGATTAAAAAAATTAAACATCAAGTCAAGTTGTATAATTTACATTTTGAAATATATTCGAAATATTTTCTTCAATTTTCATAATTCATTATTGGCTCAATGATGCAGTCTGAGCACTACCATATTTTGAACATGAGGTAGCTCTGTGAATTTTGGCGTTTCCAATTTTTTTGAGAATCGTCCTTTAAATTAACGAGCAAAAAAAACTCATTTTTTTTTTCATCACCAAACCCAACACCACCCAAATTCGGCTTTTAGACGATATACGTTGATAAATACTGATATTCTATTTAAGCATGTGCACGTAACGAAAATCTGAAACCAACAGGTATATAAACCTACCTGATGTATTAACGTATATTTAGTTAATAATAAATTATATTTAATAAAATATTGTATATTTAAGGTTCCTTTACATGAAAAAATATTTTTTTAGACACGTCTTTACTCACCTTATACACAAATAATCTTTATTATTTGTGCCCTTACAGTATTCCTGATATATTTTTATAACATATTATACTATATTTCTAAATAGATTTAAATACTAATCATATAAATAGTTTAGAAATACTAACAAATAGGAATTTTGATGTTTATTCCAGTTTTCCGTTATTGATAAAAAAATTATGAACATTAAAAAAAAACATCATTGTAAAACCTCTACTTGAGAACTACCGGGAGAGGATTTGGGTAAAAAATTATATGCCACAACTTCTAGATATTAAAATGTCTTGAGGGTTAGGGAGTAGGAGCAATTAGACATGAACTTTTTTAAGGCTACATCCTGTGAAAGAATAGTTCTATTTTATTTTGTATGTTGTCTTATTATATAACAAAAATTAATTTATCACATCATTAATATTTGTATAGAAACTTAAGTGTCTATTTATTTAATTTTATTTATTATACTAGGTAATTGAACTATTAAATAATGTAATAAAAAATAAATAAAACCCTAAATTTTAGAATTCTTGTTGTAATTTTACGATACCATTTATATATATTTAATTTAATTTATTATATTTATTTTACAATTTTACCAAATTATCACTGTACCGCAATATAACATAAGCGGAAACATTGAAGAATATTTTATTAGTTCTACTTAGAAATTTTCTTTTTCATAAATGATTAGTTTACGATAATAATATAATAACAGTTTAAATATATTTGAAAACTTAACTCATTTACATAAGTTGTCCATTAACACTGTATATTATACAGTTGACAAGTAGTAAGCTTTTCCTATTAGTTTTGCTATATTATTTGAATATTACTAGGAATTTACTGAGTTGAAATCAGACTTTTGTAACTCTTAAATAATCTACAAAAACATAAGCTTACTAGTACTCTTGTCATAAATTATAAACAAAAATCTAATTAAAAAACATAATTTTATCTTTTAGTGATAATAATTTCAATTTTTATTATTTATACCAATATAAAATATTATTTGTTTTATTATTTTGTCACTATGATTTTTCAAAAAAAATGAACCCAATTAAGATAATTAAATTGTCTAAATGATTTTTGATATAGTATTATATTGATATTTGTTTCTCGAGTTGAAAAAAATTAAATACGATTTTAAGCTTTGATGCTAAGCTGAGAAGATATAAATTTTACAATGGTGAGTTTATATCATTTTTGTGTCTGTCTCTACATTTTCACTAATCAGTTAGTTATCGGATTTATTGATAAACATTTATTTAATCATCTTTGTTAAATAAAGGAAATTGGATTAATGTTTCTGTTATAGCTCAAATATAATGTTATAACAAGCATTTGGCGCATAAAATCCTACAGAAAAATGAAAAAAAAATCTAAAACTACGCTAGCCGTTAATTCGAGTTGCGGATAAATGCAACTTTCTGTATAAGAAAGCCAACCGTCACATTTAGATAAGTAATAATAATAATGCAATAACATAATGGAAATGGTCACCACAGGTAAATTTACTTTACACCATTACGCTAATGTATAAATATAGTGTACTGTTACTTGTACTAGCCATTAGCGGTTGCGCAAAGGGAGACCTCTGAAAATGCGACTGGAGCGCTTTTGGATTAAAAGTTTACAAAATGTCTTTTACTTAACGGTAGTGTGTTTTCTAAGGTTCGCAATGGACGTTAAGCGCAGCCTATCGATGATAAAACAAAGTTCATTAAACGTGTTTAACGTATTTTGAATACATGAATCTTGGGTTTGATAGAGAGAGACTAAGTCAACCCTAATGACACGATTTAGTCAAAGTTTCACGATAGTCACAGTTTTAGACTTAAAGTATGACGAAAAAAAAAGTTATGTTTGATTCGAAATAAAATTTTTATCACATACAATTGGATATTTTTTTATTAATCAAAACAAGTAAGTCTTTTTTATTTATTAAAAAATATTTGTTACACATTTTTTAAAAATATAGACTAAGTCTTTAAATAGCTTAAGTTAACGAAACCATTTTGAGTTTCGTACATTTCAATTTAACATCATTGAATTATAAATGTAGAGTTCTGTAAACATCGTTCGTTTAGAATTATTAGTGAATACATTAACAGGGGTTTTATTATTATTTCATACACCAATTAATTTTAAACGAACCGTTTACTTTAGACAGTGAATAAATTGAAATGCAAATTAAAGGCTCAACAAAGTCAAGTCGTGTACTAAATTATTTCTAGGTCGGTATATTAACGATGTGTGTAAGAATACTTTAGTGTGTTCTTATACTTTGAATAACCTCAATCTCATATTAACTCGAAAAAAATGTTACGCTCTATTCATATTACTCTTCAAAATTCGCCACGACAAGCTCTTTCGGTCAAATTTATTGTATACTTTATACAAAGTGATTCATTAAACATGTAACACTCATTTTCCCGGAAGCTACGTTTCAATTTAAAATGTTTGTAAAAGAATATATTGTTTGATTTAAAAAATATATAATAATATTGTTAAAAAAATTGTTTCCGTCCCTTCATGGATAAAAACCCTAGACTTAAATTTTCATTAACAAAAACTCTTATTTTCAGTTTAATGGTGATATGGAAAAAATAATTTCAAACAATTTCATATCCGATGAACCGTTCTGATGTTATTGCTTGAGATAAATTAATAGATTTTTGACCGATTTTCTATCAATCATTTACTGTTTAGCTTAAAGTATTGTTATTTGTCAAAGGTATAACTTCATGTCTGTTAATAGTCGGGTACTCTTATAATCAACGCAAATTTTTAATCATATATTACTACACGACTGGTGTAAAAAATATTATTGGTAACTTCCATAAAAATAACTTTTAGCCCATTACAATAGATTTTTTTTGTCTCTAGTATTATGAAAATCTAAGGCTGAAGCTATTTGAAATCTACTTACCGGTAATTTATATCAAACCATCGCCGGTGTTTTGAGATATATCGACTAAATCAAATTTCTTTTTTAATGGTTTTAATAACAGTCGTTATTATAATTAAATAAACCGAAAACCCCATATTGTATAGTAAATATTGTAACTAAAAAACATGGAGTAAGAGAAATCGCCAACATTTTTAAAAAAATATAAACGATTAAGATTTATTGTACATTGCTGTTACATAAAATAATCAAATGAATAGAAAATATATTTTGTATAATTTAATATTCAATATAAATGATTTTTGTTTTACTTACTTTTATGTTTTTTTTATACAAATATTCTAAAAATTACTATAGTGAATTTACTTTTATATTATTATTAAAAAACAACAAAACTCAGAGAACATATACCGTAAACTATGCAACAAAAACAGTGATGTTTACACAACGGGTTAACCGAGTTTTTAAGTAAGATATTTGTGGAAGGTGAAATATTTCTACAAAAGCGTCCCTAATATCTTTTAGCTAAAAGATAGAGATAATAAATGGCGTATTATTAGCCTAATTTATTACTCTATGCTCACACTACGAAATCCTAGTTGCTGATAAACAAAGCCGTTTCAAATCATTATCATCATCAATTTCTTGTCAATTCTATAGATAAGATTTTACCTATCTCGTAATATTATAAACATGGAATACCGAACAAATGGTGTTGTTTTTATTAAAGTTTTAAGTATTAATTACCGTTATTAACAATAATTATCGAACCATGAAGTATCCACTAATTAAAAACTCGATAACTTTTAATTTTCATATTTTCTGATACCAGTATTTTTCGATATATCAAAATTACTACAGCTCTATTAAAACCAAATTAATGATAAGTTTGTATTTTAAATCAAAATATTTAAACTATTGTAAAACGCAAACAGTTGATCGAGTAAAAAAAATTTTATGAACAAAGCTGTTTGAAATTTTTTTATTCAATCATATCATAAAACTAAAAATAGGATTCCTATTAAATATAGTTAAAAGTTTTTTTATTCTAAAAATTTAAAATTTAAAACTTTTCTTAATTTTCAAAAAAATTAGTGTTTTATTCATATGATTCATTATATATATATATCAATTCTAAGTGATAGAAAAAAGTCAATGATTCAATATTTTATAAGACTCATTATAATTGAAAGCTTGTAAAAATAAATAAAAAAATACTTTTAAGAAGTTAAATATGCTTTTAAAAACAATTATTTGAAACTTTTTAATCTATGTCTTAATTTAAAAACATTTAAGATCGATTATCAAGACAATATTAATATAAATATGCAATCACTTTATTAACTAATTCAAAATAATCATTCTAAATGTTTACAACAGAGTGAATTAAATTAGTAACATTTTCAAACATTTCAGAATGTACGATTTTATTTTAAAAAATGTGGAAAATCTTTAAATATTCCAATGAAAAGGTTTTTTAAAAAACTGTATCTTGAAAAATATAACAAACTAAATGAAAACAAATATAGAGTGTTAAAATCCTAAGTATCTAACACTGGAAATAATATACGTTTTCTTTATAAACACACCAAAATTCACACCATAAAAAAAAAAAATTATTTTTATATTTCCATCGATTTATAACAATAAAAACACACCGAACGTTTGAAAATGTGCTTAACTTTTTTAGATTAATCTTGATAAAATCTTATCGCAATAGTTGAAGAATATTTTTATATTTCAAATGTCTCTTATCTGGTTTTATAAAGTAGTTTTTATTCTTTAAGATAGATAGGTCACGTCGTTATTGTAACTGAATAATAAGATGGAACTTATAAACTTCTTAATAAAGTTTTGCATGTCAACGAAATGCCACAAGTTTTATTTTATGTATTTCTGTACTCCGATGTGGATTTACAATAAGTTTTGCTCGACCGACAGTTAATTTATTTACCTGCCACTCTTACTTTCTCTGATTCACTAATATCAAAACAATTGATTTTCAGTGTACATAATTTTTATAAAGGTATGAATTTTTGTTTATAAATGTATCAAAATCAAATGCATTCCAAATTATTTTTTTTTAAACTACATTAAACGATTCAACATTTTTACTCATGAACAAAATATTTATTTTGGATCACTTTCGTAAATAATACATTTTATCTAACATATGAACATCAATGTTGGGTTTAAATAATTATATCTAAAACTTTTAATATAAAACAAAAAATTATATATTTAAAACAAAGCAAGTAATTAACTTTAATTTTTGAATGTACAACTCTACTTTATTTGTTTTACTAGCATCTTTAATGCGTAAAATTTAAAGTACTTTAAGTGGTGGAAATTTCATAAGAAAACCTTTCAACGTTTTGTATGTAGTTTACATTATTGTCATATTTTTGTAAATTTAAATTGATGGATAGTAATACAGAAAATATTTTTGCAGAAAACACTTGTGACCTTTTTCTTCTTCATTTAACTTGTGTACTGTGCATCTTTGTTAGTTCTTTGAACTGTTATTTAAAATTGAAGAATTCTTTTGTATAGTTTATTTTACACACATTTCAATTTTCGCCTCAGACCGACCAAAGATAAAGCAAGTGGTGTTAAAAATCATTGAGTACTATTGTGTTAAAAATATTATTTCCAAATACTGACTTTATTTATTCTTATTTAATTATATTATACGTTTTAAAATTTAGGTAGTAATTATTTTAAGTAATGAAATAAATTTATCGATAAACAATTATTTTTTATTTTTAATTGAGGTTACCTCAAATGAGAAATTTAAAATAAAACATATTGATTGCTTTAAACATTAGTTCATCATTAAAAAAATAAACAATAAATACTTATATACCTGAATTCCCATTAGATCGCATTATTACATGATCAGTCTATAGGCCAAACATACACTTAAGTGCACGCTTAACATGCACACAATATGAATCGATCGATTTTTTTATTTAGTGGTGTAATCAGAGGTAAATACCCGTTTGTACCTCCGTGGGTAAATCATGTACCTTAGTAACTCAAGACTTAATCAAATATTAGTTAATACTTGTTTAATTTTATTAACTAAGGATAAAATATTAAAATTTAAAGGTGTTGGATAAAAGTGAGAGTTACTTTCATTCGGGGTCATGATCTAATATAAGTATAAATTATTAGTATAATTAAATCTTACCTGATAATTTTTCATTGTTCTTAGAACAACTTCAGTGACAGTATAAAGTAATAATTGATAAATAAAATAACACAAATTTGATTTTTTGCTCACAACTTTTACTTGAACAATGTCAAATGCGCGATTAGAACAGACCAGATTGTGAAAAATTTATTATATTTTAATTTCCCCAAAAATCATTATTGTCTTATTCTTACAATGTTATTATTTATTGATAAATAAGCATAAAATATATAATAATTACAGATGGATATTATACAAATCATTTTGACATTTTATAACGTTAATATTGCTTTTTACACTAGGATTGACACATTGCGTTTAATTATTAAGTGTAGAATAAAAAAAAAAATGATGATGAGTATTTATATTAATTAAAATGAATCTCTACTATATTTTTTTGTTTGAGCTAACGCTCGTTTTGTTTAATTAGTATATATATAAAATTAAACTATTGTTTTATGCTAATGACAAAGTAAAGTTACACTTTAACCATACAGTTAATGTAAGTTATGTATAATGTACAATACGTCTGACCTAAATTCTAGCACATTTGGTTAAGAGATATATTCAAACGAGACGGAGTTTTTTGAAGATGAAGTGACTGATAAACTCTTGCACAGTTATAATGTTAATGATATTTTATTACAAATTAGGTAATAATTAATTAGTGAAAACTCGTACAATTTCTATATATAGAAATAATGTAATTATTTAATAATATTATAATATAGTAGCTTACATATGTAAACTACTAGGATAATTAGAGTTGGTTGTTTTTTATTCAACTTCATAATACAAGTATAGTAAAATAATGTAACG